GTCGCAGTGGGACAGGAGCAGATCCTGCCTGCTTACTTCTCCCAGGGGACGCAGCCTCCTGCCCTCCGGAATCTTTCTTCCCAGGCTGGGGCTGCAGGCTCTTCGGGGCCGTGGGGGCCGGTGCTGTGTCTCAGGGGCCCAGGCCGTTTGGCCTCCACATCCCTGGTGGTGGTGTCGTGGCTTCGATGCTTCGGAGTCCTCTGAGCAGGGAGGCACCCGAAGGCCTGAGCCTCTGAGCGTGGGTGGGGGATGCCAGGAGCCCATGCCCACTAACTGGAACTTTCTAAGCATCCTCCTCCGACCCCAGGCTCACCTCACACTGGGCTGGGCCAAAGCACAGGAACCTAGCACTCTGGGGCTTCAGGAGCAACTTGGGCAGTGTTTCTCAAAGAGGGTTCCAGGGAACACTGGTCCCAGAAGATGCGCCCAGGGAAGAATGTCTGAGGTCACATTAGCTTGAGAAACCCTGCTCACTCTCTCCTGCTGGAGGCGCACAGCAAAGGCTCTGACTAGTCCTCAGCAAGGACTTTGTTTCGTTCCGTGATTCCCAAGCGTCTGTGATCTTACTGATGTCCAGTGGGACGAGGACTGGCTTTGGGGAATGGAGACCCCGTGCACGTGTTCTCCCCATGCTAAGCGGTGCCCGCCGTGCCCTGAGGTTTACTTTCTGCGTCCTTGGGCTCAGGTGCATTTTTGTCTGGAGGATGGATCAGGTGCCGCAGGTGGCACATCCTTCCCCCAGGCACTGGGGGTGGGGCGGCAGGGACCCCCCCCAGAAGCCTCTGCACTGTGCAGGTGGGCGTCTGCTCCCCTGGGTGGGAGCACCTTTCCAACTCTTTGGTGACAAGAAAAATGGCCAGGCCACTGAGAGCGGTGGGCTCTGTCCTGACACAGTGCTGGCAATCCCATGCAGTTACAGCAAAATAGCAGTGGGGTGTCTCCTCAGGCTGCCGGCCCCTGGGGAGGAAGGGGATAGGGGCCCCCTCATTTTGCCCAGAAAGTGAGATGGGAGGGCAGAGAGGGCCCCAGGGCCCAGCCATGCTGGCTGAGTGCAGAGGACGGGGGAAAATGAGATGCCGGGGCAGATGGGACTTCCCAGACCTCAGGTTCAAAGCTGGATGACCCAGGGCTGACCAGAGACCAGTGGGGAACCAGTGAATAGAGAGTCAGCTCATGGGGCCAGGGGAGAGGCTCAGAAAGGTCAGAGTTGGGCAGCCAGCAGGTGCAAAAGGGATCTGGGAAATGTTGGGGTCAGGGAGCTCGGGGAGCTTGGTCCCGGGGCCGAGGCGGGAGGGGACAGGATTTACCTGTGGGAGCTGTGGGCAGAACCCAGACCTGTGGCGGGGGGCGGGGGGTGAAACGTCAGCAGTCAGGGATCCAGAAGAGAGCGGGCGCCTGCGAGTAGCGAGCGCCCCGTCACAGGAGGTGTTTCAGCAGGAGCCGGGCCCCCAGGCTGTCAGCCAGACACAGACAGCAGAGAGCAGGGGTCAAGAGCATGGACACTGCGGTCTTCATTCATTCTTTCAGCATCTACTATGTGCAAGACTCACTTCTGGGTTGAAATCTCAGTTTTTCCACTTCCTCGCTCTGTGACCTCAGGCAAGTCACTTAACTTCTCTGAGACCACTTCCCTCACCTGTAGAATGCCTTTGTTTTCCATCTCTTGGCCAGCTGGAAAGAGTGTATCTAAAAACTGGGGCCTCAAACAGCCCTCAGGGAATTTCAGGTCCCTGGTCAGGGCAAGGGGAATGCCCAGACGGGGCAGAGCGGTACCCTGAGCGGTGCCGCCTTAGCCTACATGCGAGGCTTCCAGAAGCATTCGAATCTCCAGAGGAGCAGCCCGCAGAGGGTCTGCTCCCCGAGCCTTAGTGGTAGCCCCTCCCTGCCCTCAGGGAGCCAGCGAGGAGCCTGGGAAACAGCCCCACGGGCTCCGTGAGTGGGCAGCGGTGACAGTCTTGGGTGGGCTCGGTTGGCTGACTGGTGCAATGGACACACAGGGTGTCGCGAGGTGCTGGAGCCCCAGGCCTGTGACAGGTGGGGATCCTGCTGTTGGGGTCCCTCCTTGGCGGCTGATGCAGCGTGGGAACGCTCGGGTTCAGGCTGCGATGTTCCCGCAGATTGACAAGGTCTGGGGCCTGCGCTCTGCCTCCCGGGGGACGGATTGACAGCTGATCTGTGGGGGGCAGGCGGCCCAGGCAGGGTGTGCTGGGAACAGTGAGCCCCTGACTCCTACCTCACTCCTCCCTCTCCCCCCAGGCCTAGCCCCTCAGTTCGGGGATCAGAGGGAGGGGCGTGGGCCCCACGGTGACCTTGAGATGGTGGCTGCATCACAGCAGGAGGTCAGCTCTAGGTATCCAGCCTGCCAAGGCCATGGAGAGCCCAGAAGGGGACAAGGGCTGTCTCTGAAGGGCCCCTTGGTCCCTCAGCCCGCGCAGGGTCTCTGCTCCCACTGCTGCCTTTCCCCTGCCCCCCAACTCTGGCGCATATGTGGTGCATCACGGCTCCCAAACCCCTTCCACTCTCCCTCAGACCCCTCCCTGCCAGGCCCAGGACCTTCCAGTCTCCTGCCCCATAAAAATCGCCCAGCTCCTAACCCACTCCGGCTTCCAAAATGGGCTCCGGGTAGAGATGGGAGAGGCTGACCTTGGCTCCGTGCAGGTCCAAGGGGACACCTTTGACCTGGTGAGATTAGGAGCCTGGACAATCCAAGTGCCTTCTCCCTGTCCAGCCAGGTGTGCATTGCAGGCTGCGGTGACTTGGCTTTCTTGGCCAGAATCTCAGTCTTGCTGAAGCTGGATGAGTCCCTGGAGGTGGTCCCAGTGGGTGTGTCTGGAGCGCCGTCACCTCTGAGGAGCACCAGGGACTGTCTGGAGGGCCTCAGGGCTCCACCGGCTACAACAGAACGACTCCACCTGGACCTGCCTGTGTCTTCCCTCCTGTCTGATTGCCCACCTGCGGCAGTCTCCAAGGTGGGCTGTGCCCTCCAGGGACACACATCAGGTCAGTGTCAAGGCAGGGGATGTTCGAGGGTCCTGTCTCCAGCCCAGGGCTCTCCCTCCAGCTTCTCTAGTTAGGAGGGAAGGACTGCTGACACCCCTTCCACGTGCCCCAGGGTTGTTGGCCCAGTAGCGGGGACACTAGCTCCGTAAGGTGACCCAGACAGCACCCAAACCGCAGAGCTGGACCTCAGCTTGGGGTGAGTGTTGGGTGTTTGAGAAAGTCTCGTTTGCACCTAGAGTTAGACCCGAAGGGACCCATCCACCCTCTCATCTCCAAAACTTTCAATCCATCTCTCCATCCAGACTTCCCCTAGCCCTCATTCCAGGCCTCCTCAGAAGTAACTACTCCTGGCCAGACAGACGTGGGGTCAGATCCTAACTCCATGGTCTCGTTAGCTGTGTGGTCTTGGGTCAGTTATTCGCTTCTCCGTTTCTTCCTGCATAAAACAAGAATATGAAGACGGAGATTGTTCTGGGAGTTAAAGATAAGGTTTTCTGCACATAGTAGGTTTTTTGTTCGTTTGTTTTGTTATTTTGCTTGAACAGCAAACATTTATTTCTTACAGCTCTGGGTGCTGGGAAGTCCAAGATCAAGGCACTGGCAGATTCTGTGTCTGGTGAGACCTGTCTTGGATTTGTAGGCAGAAGACTGCTGGGGACAGTCTCCAGGTTATGTCCCCACATCGGGGAGGGCACAGGGAGCTGCACATAGTAGGTTCTTAATTAAAGTTTGTATCTTTTCCAATTAGCGTTCCCTCTGGATATGTGTCCAGAAGTGGGGTTGCTGGATCATATGGTAAGTCTATTTTTAGTTTTTTGAGGAATCTCCATACTGTTTTCCAGAATGGCTCCACCAACTACATTCCTACCTGCATATATCCAAAGGAAACTGTAACTGGAAAAGACACATGCACCCCAATGTTCATAGCCACACTGTTCACAACAGCCAAGACATGGAAACAGCCTAAATGTCCATCAACAGATGACGGGATAAACAAGATGCGGTATATTTATACAATGGAATACTACTCAGCCATAACAAAGAATAAAATAATGCCGTTTGCAGCAACATGGATGGACCTGGAGATCGTCATTCTAAGTGAAGTAAGCCAGAAAGGGAAATACCATATGATATCACTCATATGTAAAATTAAAAAAAAGACACAAATGAATTTATTTACAAAACAGAAACAGACTCACACACATAGAAAACAAACTTCTGGTTACCAAGGGGGAAAGGTGGAGGGGAGGGATAAATCGGGAGTTTGAGATTTGCAGATACTAGCTGCTATATATATAATAGGTAAACAACAAGGTCCTACTGTGCAGCGCAGGGAACTATATTCGATATCTTGTAGTGACCTGTAGTGAAAAAGAATATGGAAATGAACATATGCATGTACACGTATGACTGAAACATGCTGTGCCCCAGAAACTGACACAACACTGTAAAGTGACTATACTACAGTAAAAGAAAAAATTTTGTGCCCTAGGAGACAAAGACTGCTGACCCCAGGGTGTCCCCAGGGCCTGCTCCTCTAGTCTCGGAGCCCCCTACCACCCTGTGCAGAAGGCCACCTGCCCACCTAGCGCAGCCGAGCGGCACCAGCAGCAGGCAGAACCTTGCAGCCATGGCGGGTGGGCACTAGATGCCTGCCGCCCAGATGTGACCCAGGCAGGACCTCCTGCTGCTGGCAGAGGAAGCCCTGCCTCCCCCAGCCAAGGCTGGCTGCTGCCAACCAAGTGGGCAACCCAAAGGCACGTGGCCTGCGCTTCCAGGACCTTGTTTCCCGTTGCCTACACCTGAGCCCGGCCGCTAGGCCCAGGATGCGTGCACACACGGAGCATAACCAAAGGCAGAGCCCAGGCCTCTGAGCTCATCTCTGCCGCCCCCTCAGACAGGCCGGTCCCTTCCCCCAAGGAGATAAGTAGGCGGCTCCATTTATGTGGTAACATAACGGGCTGCGGTGGCAGCGGTGGTCCTTATGCAGTGGCAGCGTGGGCTCGGCCGCACCCCGGGCACGGCAGGAGAGGGAGCCTCCGTTGTGATGTGACTCGCATCCTTGAGCCCACCCGGGAGCATTCCCTGTTTGGACCCAGGAGCCCCAGATGGTCCAGGCAGCAGTGCTGTCCAGGCACAAGGCTGGGCTCCCGGCTTTCTCTGCAGCCCCTCTGGAGGTGGGCACACGTCTCCGGGCTCCCCAGGGCCCAGCCGGCATCAACAGGTGCTCACACGGAATCTGCCCGCTGTCCTCACCTTACACACGGAGTAGCTGACCGTCCGAGAGGGGAGATGCTTGTCCAAGGGCACTCAGAGAGGGGCTGGTAGGACTCAGCCAGGCTCAAGGGCTAAGGGCCCTGCTCTGGGCCAGCTGTCTTTGGCCAAGACAGGCTCTGCCCTGGGTCATCCCCAAGTCCCACCCCGGAAGCTCCGGGTCTGGTGAGGCAACTGGGCCACGGCAGACCCCACCCTCCCACACCTCCCCTCCATCACGGCTCGGGGCCAGAAACGCACCCACCTTTCCTCCGCCACTCAAGGAACTCCTGGGTGCCCTGCTTAAGCCCACTCAGGCCGCCCCTCTGGGAAGCCTTCGCCGACACCCCAAGTCTCAAGGGCGAGGCTCCTGAGGTTCTGTGGCCCTCAGGCTCTTCTTATGCTGCAGGGAGAGCAATCCTGACGGGACAGTCGGCTCGTAGATGAAGCGAGAAACTATGTTAAGTTCCTTCCAGGTCCTGCATCTGCAGAGAGAACCCAACACAAGGAGTCATAAAGTCCTATCGCAGGTGGGCCCGACGCTCCTAGTGCCTCGTCAGAAACTGAACCTCCTGCCAGCAGCAGCTGCCTGCTCTCTCCCCTGGCCTCTCCCCTGCGCAGGTCCAGCCCTGAGGGAAGGGAGAAAGCGCCGGGACTGAGTAGGGGGGGGGCTGGATGGAAAATGGAAAGAATAAATGGACGTGAGATTTAACAGAAGGTGGGAGGGGGAGATAGAGAGGAAGAGGAGGTGGGAAGTGGTCCAGCTTGGTTAACTAGGCTCACATCCCAGCTCTGCACACAGCAGCCGTGTGACCGGTTGGAGACTGCATGTCTCTGTGTCCCATTTCTATTCCTTTCATCTAGAAAAGGGGACATAACTACCCACCCCTAATGTTGTCATGAAGATTTAACAAAACAGGCACGCAGGGGCCCATCTTGCTGTAATAACGCCCTCGGAAAGTGACACTCGAATTTCCTTCCTCCCGGACAGCCTGGCTCCGGCTCCCAGCCAGGCCAGGTACCTGCACAGCCATTCCTGCGCTGGGCGTGCCCCGCCCCCTCCCACCCCTGTTAAAATCCCCTGGCTCGGTGCCTCTCCCAGGTATGTCCTGGTTATGTAATCACGCCGAGCAGCTACACACTGCTGGCTCTTCCCTGGCTCCTGTTTACTCTTTGGCTCAGGGGAAAGCTCCATTCAGAAGAAACTGCTATTGTGTCTCAGCTTCCCATGGGAAAGAGGCATGGGGAGGGGCTCAGCAACCCAGCCCGGAGGCGGGGGTGGTGGCAGCGGAGGGGGAGAGAGGGAAGCAGGCCCTGGCACAGCCTGGGGCTTCCTGGATACACACGCGGCTTACCATTCACTTATCTCTTCAAAGACAAGAGCCTCAAAGGATTTTTTGCATGACCTGTTTTTTTGATAAACCTGAAAAATGTTAAAAAAAAAAGGCAGACCATTATCTCACCCGCTTCCTTAGTCATGACCTTTTGCTTCACTTCTAACCATGTTTTGTTGCCCTTTCATTCATTTATGCATGTATGCGTGCATCCATCCATCCATCAACACATCCATCCATCCACCCACACATCCATCCATCCATCCACACATCCACCCACCCATCCATCATTCATTATTCATCCATCATCCCTCTGTACATCCATCCACCATCTATCCATCTATCCACACATCTACCCACTCATCATCCATCTATCCATCAATCATCCATCCATTCATCCGTCCATCCATCATCCATCTATCCATCCATCCATTCCTTCTTTCACCCAACATGTATTTGAATTAGTAGTGAAAGAAATACTGAACTGGGTGGAGTTTTGTGACCTGGTTTCCAGTCTCAGCGCAGGCACTGTGTTGAAGCAGAGTGCTTGTGCAGAAAGCAAGGTTTGAGAGTGACACCTACCCAGGCCTCAGGTGGTCTCAGATCTCCCATTTTCATTCCTGTCCTTGGCCAAGCCCTTCCCGTCTTTCCACTGCAGCTTCCTCATCTGTGAAATGGAGCAATAAGGGTGCTTGTCTTATTCTTTCGAGGGCATGATAAGAAAATCTACATGGGAGTTCCTGGAATCATGTGAACCTTCCAGTCGGAGCTATTCAGGTCTTGTTCTTTGGGTGGAGGATGCCAAGATGGGGCAAGAGAGCCCTTGTCTTTGGGGCTTCCTGGACAGTGGAGCAGAGTAAGTCCCAGCCAGCATCACTGGGGTCTGTGCTGGAGTCAAAATGGAGAAGAATTTAAAGGGGACAAGAGAGGCATCACAGAAAAGGGTCTTGACGGCCATGGTGACCAAGAGTTTTAAGCAGGGTGGAATATGTCTGCATTAGTATTTTGGAAGGATGCTTCTGGCTCCTATGTAGAAAATGGATTAGAAATGAGGTCCCACAGAGAGAGAAGACAGTTAGGAGACTTGCAGTTGGTTGGAGTAAAGACTGTGAGACAGAAGCATGGGGCACACCAGTTCCACTGGTCATTCAGTAATGCAGCATTCATATCTCACCTTCCGTCCCATGTCCCAGGTAGACATTACTAATCGATTGCAGCTCTCCTTTCCCTAGAGCCTAAAATCATGCCGCCCAATATGGTAGCCACAAGCCACCATTCAAATACAGCTATTTAAACCCATGAAACTAAAATCAACTGAATAATTCTGTTGCTGAATCAATAATCATATTTCAAGTGCTTGATATCTCCACACGGCCAGCGGCTCCCTGTTTGACAGAGCAGATACAGAACATTTCTTTCACCACAAATGTTCCCTTGGAGTGTGCCGGCCTCTGGCAGGTGACCGTAGCCGGCCCCTTACTGCTGGGAAGGACAACAAACATCCTGCCTCCTTGGGCCAAGTGGGGGTGAGTTCTGCCAAAGCCCGGACCTGCCCGGGGACACATCCCGCTGCCGGTTTTGTTTCTGTCTGAATTTTGCATATGGCAAGGTCACACTTGAAAGAGCAAAGTCCTTCCATGCTGACCCTTCTCAAGTTCACTTTCTTGTTGTCTCTTAAGAAAAAAAAAGAAAGAAGAGAGAAGAGTAAAACCCTCGCCTTGCCTTGTGGCCACACACGTAACCTGCGGGCGGCGCCCCTGCCCTAGGCGCGCCCCTTACCTCTCCAGCCTCCAGGGACTTGATGCTTCTGTTCTGCATCTATTTTTAGTGCCTCTGGGAGAATGTCATTGCCGACGGAGGCAGACATTTCATACTCTGGGAACCTTGACCTGCTGCTCTTCCAATTGTGCGCGGAACCTGCTTTCTCATGCCCCAGAAGGAAAGAACAATGATCGTGAACGAGCAGCATCTTCCGGAAAATCGGAAGTAGAGCCTCCGCGATCCGAGGCCGCCCTGAACCCCGGCGGGGCTGCCTGCGGTGGCCGCCGCCTCCTGGCCCACCTGCTGAAGGCCCCGGGGCTGCGGGGCTACCGCGTGGGGCCGCCAGCCAGGCCAAAGCAGGGAGAGGGGGCCGTAGGCGGTGGGCTGGCCACAGGACCAGGGGGCGGACGAGGCTGAGGCAGAGTGATAAAAACTTGTGGAGAAAGCATTTCCAGCCCTGCAGAGACCCGTGGCCCACCCCCAGAAACCAGCACCGGGAACACCTCCCCAGGGCAGGGTGGGGTGGAGCAGGAGGCGGAGAGGGTGCCTTGCTCTGGGTGGGGGGTGTCTCTCTTGGGCTGGGGAGCTTGAGTGATCTGAAAACGCCTGGCCTCTGACCCTGGGCTGGGTCCTGGGCTGGGTCCTGGGCTGGGTCCTGGGGGGACCAAGGAATGGGATCGGGTGAGTGGTGGGGGGTATGGAGACAGGGAAGGAGCACCAGCTGGCTGCTGGCTCAGGGGAGGGACAGAGTGGGGGCCTCACACATGCTGGCAGGGACAAGGCTGAGGTTCCCCCAGTGCCCCTGCCTCCCCAGGTGCACAGGTGGTCCCTTCAGCCCCTGGGGCAGTAGGAAGCGAGACTGGCCTGGCCTTTAGGGAAGAGGGGCGGTACTTGCCGAAATCACCTTTGACAAAGAAAGCAAAGGTCACGGGAACAATTCCTCCCTTTCACGCTAGGCGACCTGGCAGGAGTGCGCTGGAGCTGACAGAGGGTGGCAGCCCCTCCCAAGCGGCCCAAGACAAACAGGGCGGCAGGAAGTTCCCACGCTCCCAGGGCTGGCACCCAGAGGCTCTGAGTCACCTGCGGGGGGCTGGGGCTGCGAGGAGGGTGGGGCCTCAGCCCCCCACAGGTGAGCCTGGGGCGGGGCCAGCTGCGGCACGTCTGCTGAGCGCCTCCTCCGCGCCCCGCACGCACTGCGAACGCCGCCTCCCTCCGTCCTGACAAAAGGCCTACTGAACTAACAGTAGGGCCTTCATTTCGCAGACTAGGAACTCGAGACCCAGAGAGGCTAAGTGACTTCCCTCGGGTCACCCAGCCTGAAAGGGGAAGAGTCAGGGTTTGGACTCAGGCTCCTCTGGTTCCAAAGTCTGTGCTCTTTAGTCTGGACATGGATTCACTCAGCAGACCTTTGCTGAACCCCTACTGTGTGCCAGGCTCTCAGCCAGGGGCCAGGATGGAAATGTAATCAGGGCCATGGCCCCGTGGGAAATGTCTACCATTAGCAGTGGCCTAGGGTTCCACCTGCGAAGTGGGTGAGTGGGTCCCCCAGCCGACCTCTGTAGAATGTACTAGAAGGTGATAGGACAGCACACCCGGCCGTGGGGCAAAGCGCTGGAGGAACACTACATCCTAGGGTCCCCAATGTTGGTTTTGGTGCTGCTGCTGCTGTTCTGTGGGTCGGGGTGCTGTGGCCTGAGGGGGCATCTTCTGCCCTTGAGATCAGGGTGACAGAGAGCAAGCACCCGCCATGAGCACCCGCTTCCAGAGGAGTGGATGAAATGGCCAGGGACCCCTGGGGCATGGCCACACAGGTCACCTCCCCCTAGCTACTCAGAGGTGTGCCTGGGCTGGAGGTCCTGGAGGGCAAGGCCATCCCTTCCCTTCAGTGACGTCGATTGAGGATCTGCTGTGTGCGGGCTCGGGGCTCCTGGAGGTGCAGGCCCTCCCCTCCTCAGCACCCAGCGCAGTCCTGACACTTTGGAGGTGCCCAGATGAGCCAGCTGAACCATTATGGCCACTGCTGGGCCATTAACTGTCACTCTGCCCCTGTGGACAGAGGCTTCAGAGGCTCCTTGGGGCTTTGAGGGTCACTGGGCCTTCAGGTCTCAGAGGACCACGCTACTGCCAGTCCCCCAAACAAGAAACCATCAGGCCAGTTCTGGGGCCACATCGGAGCCCACAGTTACCATAAGGTTAGGCCAAGTCAAGCAGGCAGATGTCGGGCTGGAGTTTGGGGCAGGCAGCAGCTGCTAGAGCCCAGATGAGGGTTAGAGCTGAGAAGCTTGGACAGAGGGTGAAGCTCAGGTGATGGTTCTGTCCGTGTGTCCGCAGGCGAGGAGCTCCCCATCTCTGGGCCCCCTGGCCAGGAAACCGGTGTGACCCTTACAGCTCCTCTCACCTCTCAGATTCCAGAGTCTCAAGATCAGGAACCACTTGTCCTGTGGGTGTGTAGCAAGTGTTCCAGAATGACCTGTCCTTGGAGGGCCAGTGTCCCCCTCCCTGGAGTCAGGGGACAGCCCTGCCCACTCACTTGCCCCTCTGCCCACCTCCTCCTGGACCTACCCGTCCCTTCTAGCCAACACCTACCATCAGCCGCCAGCATGTACGCAGCATCCCAGAAGATCACACACTAGCCAGCCAGCCAGGTGCGTCCTATCCTCTGATCACTGGACCACCTGTTCGCCTGCCAGCATTCTCCATCAATTGTCCACCTACCCACTTAGCCTTCACCCACTGAGTGGCCCCTCTGTCCACCCTTTGATTTATCTGCACATCCATCCACTGCCTTGAATCCCTAACGCCAGGCCTGAAGTCGTCCGTGGGCGCCAAGCAAGGCTGGCTGGTACTAATTCTGGGTGATGTGGCAAAAACCAAGATTGTTTAAAGGTGCACATTTTCAGTCACTGGTTTTGCAGCTCTCCCTCCCACCACACCTGTCCTTCCTCTCCTGGGAAGTCAAAGCGCTTGGGATCTGCCATGTATTAGTTGCATGACCTTGGACATGGTAACCAACATGTCTGTGTTGCACAGTGTGAAGTCAGCCCGGCACATCTTTGCTGAGCCGCCGTCACAGCGAAATGCCCACGATAAGCGTTCGGCTGGCTTGCCGCGACGATCACTTCCGGACGCTGTGCTGTCCAACTGTGTCTGATTGTACCAGGGGGAAGGTTGCTGACTCCTGAGCGCCCGGCTAGTAAGAAAGGATCTCTTTCTGCAGTTTTCCATCCACCCAGGCCTTCCTTTCCTCATGGGCTATGTCCTGTTTTCAACTGCATGCTTCTCTTCTACTGAAGCAGCACTGATAACACCTTTCTGATAAAAGGCCAACAAAGCTTCCAGTAGAGATAAAGGAACAACCACGTTCTTTGCCGGCCCGGGAAGGACATTTCCCATTCCATGTCATTTTCCCACTGGAATGTGAGAAAGGAGGTGTGAAATATTTGTCCAGATCATCTCTCATCAATGAGGCATTCCAGTAACCACAAGCAGCGCTGGCCCCTTCGCCCAAGCACACCCGGAGGGAGCCACTGGTCTGGCTAATCTGATTTGTGGGCGTAGGAGTCCTGGCTCCCTGGCTGAACGGGGGCAGTGTGTCTGTCCGGGCCAGCTGCTGTCCTGCTGCCGGGTCTGGGCTGGTTCAGAGGCTGCCCCAGAGGCTTTGACGTGTGCCAGCCCCTGGGCCCATGTGGCTTTCTTCTCTGTCTTGCCTGGGAAAAATGATTCATTATCCCATTTTAAAGGAGGAGACTGAGGGTCAGAGTGGATGTGGGAGACTTACTCAAGGTCACACACGTTTTAAATCCGTCTGCCACAGCGAGCAGGATGGCTCTTCCCCCGGTCATCTTATCCTCAAGTTCCTGGCGTGTCTCTGAGCAGGTGAGTGTTTGAGAAGAGCGCACATCCATCGCGTTTCCCCCAGAGTGATGACAGCCCAGCGTGAGCTTCTCCACTGAGTCAACACACAGGCCCACGCTGCCTCTGTGGCCTAGGTTGTCTCCTCTCAGCATGGCCCCCACCTGGTGCGCCCCCTCCTCCAGAGCATCTCAGTCCCAGTTGTCTCTGAAAACTCCTCTGACACCAGCAGCCACTGGTCTTAACACAAGCGCCCAGTGGGAGAGTCAGACAGGCCTGGGGTGGCAGCCCGTTCAAGGTGGCCTCTGATGACCCTCACCGGCTTGTGTTCGCGCCCTCTGTGGCCCCCTCCCTCCTCGAATAGGGCTCACATGGTAAAGAGCGCATGCTGGGGGAATGATGGAGCATGGCTCCCAAGGCCAAGTTGTGAAAGGCGAGGCAGCTTCTACCTGGTTCTCTCCAGCCACTCACGCTGGGGTAAAAAGTCCACCGTGTCACGAGGGCACTCAGGCAGCCCTGTGCAGAGGCCCACGTGGCAAGGTCCTGAGGCCTCCCACCAACAGCTGGGTGAAGGAGCCGTCTTGGAGGTGAATCCTTCAGCCTCAGTCAAGCCTTCAGATAACTTCAGCCCTGGCCAACATCTTGACTTAAGTCTCCTAAGAGATTCTGATCCAGAATCTCCCAGATCCAGCAGCTCCGTGGCCCACAGTTATGAGAGATAAGAAATATTTGTTGTTTTCAACCACTAACTGAGTTGGGGTTATTTGTTACACAGCAGGAAATAACTAATGCATGAGGTTTGAATTGTGGGCGTCTCCTTACGAGATGAGTCACCTGGGTCAGGTGGTTCAATGTGGAACCTTGGTTTCCTCCTTTGTGAGACAGCTAATCATAACCCCCTTAGAGAACCTTGCTAAGAACAGAATGGGAGGCAGCCTGTCCTGTGCCCGGCATCCCCAGGGGCCATGGGGCTGCTATGATTGCTGTTGCAGCTATGTGTGCCTGTGCAGGGCTCTGGCTGCTCTGCCTGCAAGAAGAGACACGTTCTTAAACTCCTCATATGCCCCGACATAGACACATGCACACACGTGCATGCACACACACACACACGCTTACCTCGCCCAGCACCTGGCCCAGGGCTGAAGGAGGCACTTCAGGTTCTCAGTTATTACTGAGAACCAATGAATGAAGCAAATGGTATTCATTTTAATTAAAATATTTGAGTTGTGATCAAATATAAATAAAATAAAATTTACCATCATCATCATTTTTAAGTGTACAGTTCAGTCATGCTTAAGTGCCTTCACATGATTGTGCAACCAATCTCCAGAGCCGTCTCCTCTTCCTACACTGACACCCTGTCCTCATTAAACCACCACTCCTCATCCCCTCCCCCGGCCCCCAGAACCACCATCCTGCCCTCTGTCTCTGTGACCTTGACTCCTCGAGGGACCTCCCATAAGTGGAATCACGTACATGTGACCTGGTTTGCTTCACTGCCCAGGGGTCACCCACGTTGGAGAATGTGTCAGAATGTGTCCTTCCTCTCTGAGACTAAATCATTCCACAATGAATGGTTGCTTCATGTGTGTTTCTTTCCCTTCGACCATGAGATCGAGGGGGTCAGGCACGGAGTCTAACTCCTCTGCTTATGCCCAGCCCCTGACTTAGAACTGGCCCTGAATAAGCCTGACTCAAGATGTATCCATGGAAGAAACGACTAAGGTCCCCATGTCTGGTTTGTGTCCTGGTTCTGCCACTTGTTGGCTGGGTGGCCCCTGCAGGTGTCTTGCCCTCCCTGACCCTCTGTTCCTGTGTTTATGGAGTGGGGATGGTGCCTCACTCATGAGACAAGTGTTGGGGTCAAATGTGGTGACTGCACTTCAAATGGTGGGGTGTGGGGGTGTGGCTGCTTCCTGATTTGACCCCCCAGGTCAGAAATGGTGACACTCCTTTGCTTGACCCTGGCCTGACCCAGAGGCCACTCAGCAGGGGGCCAGGTGTGGTGGCTGGTCTGT